GGGGGCGGGGTAGGCTGCAGCTCAGAAACTTGAGAACTTCCCAGCCCCCCTCCGTCCCTGTTCCTCCTCCAGTCTTCTGGGAAACAACGTCAGATCCAGGCACTTCCCTGCCCCCCAACACCTACTCCGTAACTATCTCTTAAATCATCTCTCCGCTCGACTTCCTTCCCTTCCAGCTTCAGGTGGAACCACCCTTCCCTGTCCTCCCCCCCGCAGCCTCAGGGGGCCATCAGCTGACCCCCCTTCACTTGCAGCCTCCTTCCAGGTCCCCAGCCCCTAGGCCTCCCAAGGTAGGTTCCCCACCCCAGTAGGGACACTGAGCAGGTGGGGGTGGGGCTGTATAGGCACAGTCTTCCTGGTCCACTTCCTGTTCCCCTCCGCCCCCATCCCAGCTACCACCCCTGCCAAGCCTCTGGTTCAGGGGTCCTGCCATGGTTAGGGGCCCTGAAAGGCTTGAGGAATGGAGGCCGATGAGTTAGAATCCTGCTCCTTAACTCCGAGGATACAGCCTGTGCTGCCACCTGGTGGCCAGGGTCTGGGGCCTCCATGCAGCTGGGCAGGCCTCACTCTACAATTCTATGCCCACCCCACAGCCGAACAGGCTGTCACCTCCCTGGGGCCATGGGGGCATGCCACTCCTGACCCAGGAGCCCAGGAGAAGCAGGTGGGAGGTAGTAGTGGGATGTGAGCTGAGAGGGATGTCCTGTCTTGCTACCTGCCTCAGTGACTGCTAGGCTGTCTGGGGGCCTGTCAGCTGGTGTCCAGGTTGGGGAGGGGTCCGATGAGCCTTTCCCAGGAAAGGGGCTGGGCTTGGAGTCTGGGGACCCTAAGGGCAGGCCTGACTTGGAGAGTCCACCTCAGAGTACACACTGCCAGAGTGAGTATGTGTGGGTGGGACAGGTCCCCGGGGGCAAAAGGCTGAGGGGGAGGGGCTCTGCATCCATCCTTTGTCCCTGGGTGACCAGCTTAGAGGTCATTTTCTCTGTTCGGCATCCTCTTCCGGGCCACACTGTGGACGGCATGTCTGGAGTCTTGGGAGAAAAGCTGGGATGAGAACAGCCCCCAGAGCAGCCCGGGCAGGCCTAGGAGGTGAGCCGCTCTGCAAAGGGAAGCCGAGGGCAGTGAGGAAGGGACACAGCTCAGTGGAGACAGCTGGTGAAGCCCTCCAGTTCTGCTGTGTCACCTGCTGAGCCTCCCTGAGAGTGGCATCAGAATGACTGCCAAGCCAGGGACAGGGTGCCCTGCAGTGGGGCAAGGGTTTCTTGGCCTGCCTGCACCCCCCATGCCTGGCCCTCCTCACCCTTCCTCCTGCTTCCTGGCTGCGCTCCAGCTGAGGACTCCTGCAGGGTCAGGCCCCCCTGCAACCAGCTTGAGTAGAGCCAACTCACAGCCCGACGGTGCTGAGGTACTGTGGATGCCATGCCACCCCACCCCACCCCACCCAGGTTGGACACAGTCGCTGAGGGCCTGGTCAGGTGGGCCAGCCACTTCTTGATGTTTGAATGCCAGCCCCCACATGTTGGACTCTCAGAACGGCGCACTCCTACATCCACAGTGGTGGAAAGACCTGAGCCTCATCACCCTGTGGCACCTTGGCAGGCAGCCTGGAAGGCCTCGGTGGGCGGGCTCTGGCTCAGGACTTCTGAGGCTGGGCCTCAACTCACCTGGCCTCAGACCCACTCTTGTCACCTGGGCCCTGTGGACCCAGCCACCAGGCACACGCCCTCATGCCCTCCCACTCCCCTGGGGCCCAGCTGTCCCCACACCTGAGGTGAGAAGCCTGCTTTCAGGGTCTCGGAGCTGCATGGGGCCATCACTGCTCTCGCAGGTTCCTGGTGTTCCACCTGTAGTCCTTCCTGCTCTTACCTCAAGTTTACTTCTCACTTATTTTCTCTGGCTGTGCTGATTCTTCTTGGGACCAGGCAGGGGAATGGTGGTTCTGCCTGCCTCTGCCACCAATTCCACGAAACCTTCCACCACACGGTAGAGACTATCTCCCTTTTCCTCAGGATTCCAGCGACTGTAATGGGTGAGTTTACCTCTCCCTGAAATCATGGTCAAACATGGGCAGTCTAAGCACCATGCCCTGCCTGCCCGACACAGGACCTAGGCATGAAAAGGATGTAGGGAGACCTCTTGGGTGGGGCAGCTGGGCCTTCCACTGTCAGGTAGTATCTTCTGGATGAGGGAACCAGCCTCCAGCATAGTTTCTGCAGTTGTCGGACCTGGTGGCTCCATGGTGACATGCATCCAGAAGCACCCCTGGCCTCCAGCCACCCCATGCCAGCAGTACTTCCCCACCTTGTGACCAAAATGTCTAGATGTTTTTTGTTTTTTTTTTTTGAGTTGGAGTCTCACTCTGTCGCCCAGGCTGGAGAGCAATGGCACACTCCCGGCCACCGCAGCCTTGACCTGCTGGGCTCCGGCGATCCTTCCACCTCAGCCTTCCGAGTAGCTGGAACTACAGGTGCGTGCTACCATGCCCGGCTAATTTTTTGATTTATTGTAGAGATGAGGTCTCACCAAGTCTAGATGTTGACAAATGCCCCTTGGGGGACAAAATCACCCCTTTCCCATCTGCCATACTACTGCCCTACAGAAACAATGAAGAGATTCGGTTTCTTAGAACTGGGAAAAACAGTAAGGACTGTTTGCCAATAGTAAAGCCTTGGCTTCAGCCCTGCTCAGGGTCCCGTGCTGATGTGGACGACGGTGTGAAGAATCTGGTGAGATGGTGACAGGCTGAAAAAAGCTCGAGTGTAAAAGCAGGTTACAAAACAGCCTGTACTCTGAGATCCCACACAGAGTATGTATGGAAAAAAACCCCAAAGAACACTAGTCAGCTGTGGGTGGTGGGGTAACAGGTGATTTCCTTCTTTATACTTTATTTTTCAAGCTTTTTACAGTGTTTTTTAAAAATGCTCAATGTGTCACACAGTCCATGGGAGCTCACTAAGGCAGCAGCAGGACTCCACCACCACCATACCCTGAGATCCCACGGATGAGGCAACAGAGGAAAAAACACAGAAAAGACTGGTCTAAGGCCACCCAGTTCCATGTTCTGGGCTCTCTTCACCACTTTTGACTTCAAATAACAGTCTAAAAAACTTTTTTAGAGACAGGGTCTTGCTCTGTCTCCTAGACTGGAGTGCAGTAGTACAATCACAGCTCACTGCAGCCTCAAACTACTGGGTTCAAGCAATCCTCCTGCTTCAGCCTCCCAAAATACTAGATGACAGGTGTGAGTCTCTTTGACTTTTTCTTTTTTTAAGTTGGAGTCTCACTTTGTTGCCCGGGCTGGAGTGCTGTGGCACACTCACAGCCACCCCAGCGTCGATTTCCTGGACTTCAGCAATCCTTCCACCTCAGCCTTCAAAGTAGCTGGAACTACAGGCACACGCAGTATACCACGCCCGTGGGCTCAGGCTATCCACTTGCCATGGTCTCCCAAAGTGCTGGGATTACAGGCTGAGCCACCAAGCTCAGCCAGCCTCTTTGACTTTTAAGAAACGTTGGAGACCTCCCACAGATGACACCTATTTGTCTTTGCAACAACTTAAAAGCCTGCAATTACCTGCTAGGCTCTTGACTCTGCATTTGTTTTGAGCTTGCCTGGCACTTAATACAGCCTCCCAGAGCACACTTGGGGCTATACCCTGTACTCATGGATTCTAAGTTAATTTCCTTTCCACAGCTAAAAAGAAAACCATTTTTTTTTTTTTTTTTGAGTTGGAGTCTCACTGTCGCCCAGACTGGAGTGCAGTGGCCGCTCCCGGCCACCGCAGCCTCGACCTGCTGGGCTCTGGCAATCCTTCCACCTCAGCCTTCCAAGTAGCTGGAACTACAGACGCGTGCTACCACGCCTGGCTAATTTTTGATTTATTGTAGAGATGAGGTCTCGCCTGCCCAGGCAGGTCTCGAACCCACGGGCTCAGGCAATCCACTCACCTCAGCCTCCCAAAGGCACAGGATTACAGGCTGGGCCACCGAGCCTGGCTGAAAACATTTTGATTGGCAAGAAATCTTCGGGCTCTGAGGTTTCCACCAAGCAGGTGAGAGCACTTCAGTTTTAGAGAAGTAAGGCTATTTTGGTACGCCTTCTTTAATCTCATCCCACCTGTACTAGCTGCACCCAGAACTGGCAGGTGGTCTGTGCTAACACACGACAAAGATGCTCCAGAAACATACAAATTTACAGCAAAAAGCCGTGAACTTCCATGAAAATTAAAGTGAAAATCTAGTTTTGTCTATATGTTTTTGAGTCTGGGCCTCACTCCGTCACCCAGGCTGGAGTGCAGTGGCACCATCACAGCTCATTGCAAACTACATTTCTTGGGCTTAGGTGATCCTTCTGCCTCAGGCTTCCTACTAGCTGGGACAACAGGCCCGTGCCACCACACCCAGCTAATTTTTTGATTTATTGTAGAGACGAGGCCTCGCTATGGTGCCCAGGCTGGTCTCGAACTCCCGGGCTCAAGCGATTCTCTCACTTCAGCCTCCCAAAGTGCTGTGATTACAGGCATAAGTCACCACACCTGGACTACTTATGTCAATATTTTAGACTCATCAACAGCCCAACACATTAAACAGTCCTTCCAATGCATTACACTTTCTTTCTTTCTTTCTTTTTTTTTTGAGTTGGAGTCTCACTCTGTCGCCCAGACTGGAGTGCAGTGGCACGCTCACGGCCACTGCAGCCTCAACC